TATATATTAATATATAAATAATAACAACTTGCCATGTGCTCTAGGTGGGTTTTAAATGTTAATTTATCATAAAGATCCACAAATTTCATTCACAAATTTATCAAAAAACAAGGTTCTTGATTTGCTAAACTTATTTATATTTAGGACCATACTATGACACAGCTTTTCTGGGATAAATGTAATTTATTAAACAATCAAATATGAAGAATAAATAATTACATGAGCTGAAACCATATAAATAATATAATATTTTTGAATAAAATAGTCTTTTAAAAAAGAAATCATTCTAACAAATAAAACATTTGTATGTTTTAAGTTATTTTGCTCTGTGTGAAAGACGGATATTTGCTGGTTGGACTGGAGAGTGTGGAAAGCTGCTTTAACCAAGGCTGAAGATGCAGAAGACCAAACAGGAGCTGTCCATCTGAAGGACATGTTAGTCTAAAAGACATTTAACCATGAAATGTTCAGTTTGTGATGTTTATATGACATACACCCAGCCCCTCGACCACTTAGGTAGTTTACAAAATTTATGCAGAGTAAAAGAATAAAATAAAAACTTGGACTGATTTGGCATGATGTCCTGAGACGTTGCAGCTGATAAGAGTCAAAAAACAGAACAGGGGGACGTTAGATGACCTGACACCATAAATGTGTTAAATGAGTGAAGGAAAATATGAGTGAGCACCAAGCAACAACCCTAGGTTCTTCCCTGAGAACCAGATCAAAACTTTTATGTGCAACCCTGGTTATAAGTAAACACTGATATGGTGCCCCCAACAGGTAAAAACAGTGTAGAATGGATACAGAAACAGTATCACCCTGCTGTCTGCATCCTCGTTTCTTCTACACCTGTTAAAGTATAAGAAATCTAGAAAAGGACAAACACTTTTTCACACCACTGTTTATGTAAATGGCTCAATAACAAAACTCATTATATCCATTATCGACAACTGTTGACATTTTATACATAATTTTACACTTATTTTAGTATTTTAAAAAAAACAAGTCCCCCACCATTTTTATTACTTCTATTCATTTAATATAGTCCATATTGTTCTATTTGAAAGTTATTTATATTCTCATCATTGAGCCAGGTGTCTATCATAAATTGTGCTTTTATAATGAATGAATGATTTTATTTGTTTGGGACAGTGTGCAATTAAAACATAATTGGATGCATTGCACCAGATTTAGCCTAAGGCTAATTTACATCTGTAGTCCCATAAAACAGTAAAAACAAAACATCCAACAGTAAAATAGAAATAAGAGTGGAAAAAACAGAAAAATAAAAATAATAAGAATAATAATAATAAGAAGAAGAAACAGTGAGGGTTAGAATTCTTCCAACATAAAGTGTCCAAAAATTCTTCCAAATCTAAAAATAACACTCTCATAAGAACGATGTCAGAATTTCTTACTGATGATTAATTTGTCATCCAAAGCCTGTTGTTCATCTGTATGTTTTTCTCTTTAAATAATTACATTTATTCTGTTTTCTCAGTTGAAAAGGTCTTTGAGTGTGACACATGTGGAAAGATTTTTAATCAGAAGAAGCAACTTCAGAGCCATTATAGAGTCCATACAGGTAAGAAACCAAACATATCAATGCTATTTAATTTTTATAATCACACTCAGGACCATACATAAGCCTCTAAGTTGTTTTTTTTATTTGTTTTTTTTTTTTTACATAAAGGTAAATCATTACCAGAATGTGCTCAGTGTCACCACAGGTTCATGGATTCAGCACAACTGAAGAAACACCTCAGAACTCACACAGGTAACAGCCCAACATCTGAATCTGTAGTATTACATTACACTTACAGTACTTTTATGTAGAGTTTATGTACAGTATACTTACAGTAATAGAAAGTATGATTGATTTATGGAGACCTCCATGTTTTCTCAGGGGAGAAACCGTTCACCTGTGAGATCTGTGGGAATGGTTTCACAGTTAAAAGCTCTCTGCAGATTCACATCAGGATTCACAGGTGAGGGACACACACACACACCACACACACACACACACACACACACACAAACACACACGCTCTGTGCTTCGACATTCAGTCTGTTAACAGCAGTCATGAGAAAATAAAGGTCCAGTCTCTTTCAATTCTGAGTTTTTTGTATCAGGATCCATGTTTTTCTACCCTGATTTGAACAAAAACTCAACAGATTCCACTGATTTCACAGAGATTTAATAAAGTAAAACTAAATGTTAAAATTACGTATAAAAAATTGGATCTATCACGCAGCTTCTACAACAAGTCGACCCCTAAGAGAGTGCGTTTATCTGATGTTTGGTGATAGGCGTGTTAACTAATATGTCTCATTTTAAGTACACAGAGAGCAATTAACAATTAATCACAGTTTAATCATAACATATAAAGATATGTAATTATGCTTTTAGATTATCAAAAATAGTCCAGCTCTTTCAATAAAAAAACAAGAATGTTAATCTTTTACAATCTGTTTTATTTATGACATTGATACTCTGAACACTTAAATTTAATACAATAAATATGTTGTATACATTTATTGACTAGGGATCAACCTAAATATCTGTCCATCATCGTTTAAGAATCAATGTTAAACGGAATAAATTTCCCTTCAGTTTCATTGGCGACACTAAGAGGTGACACTGAGAAATGTTGGTTACATACTGTAAGCCCAGATTCTGAGTATAGGCGCAGCCCTTTAAGGCTATCACTAGTTGGTTAAAGGCTTTTTTTTTTCATTTGCCAATATCGATAATCTGACGATATCTTTCCTTCTTTCTTAAAAAAATAACAACATGTGGTCAAACCCTGCTTGCTTACATCTATGGATATGATAAACTACAAAAACATTTGTGTGCATCCTTACCAGTGATGATGTTTATACTTGGTGCTTATCTTATTGTAGTTTTCTCCATGTGGCTGAATACTTTATAACTTGTGAAACTTTGTAGAATAGGAGAGCAAAACATGACAAACTAAAACTGAATGTTGCATGTCGCGTGCAGCCTTTGCACGAGCAGCTTGGTCACATGTGCAAAGATGGACATATCTGTTGGATAATGGTGCTCTGAGCTCAAATATTTCTTATAAAGTTTGGTTTTAGAGACCAAAGTTCCAGTAGTGAAGTGAGGGAGGAGAGGAGAGGTTTACTTGTTTTCACAAAACAAGAAACTCTCTGCAAAGAACCCCTTCTCAATAACTGGGTTTGAAAATAGACGGACACTCCCATTTTTGCAGAAAATCTGACAATTTGGGTGTGCCATATTTCTGTAATCAGTAGTCAGACTGACCTAAAATTCAAGAGACTGTGCAGTGGGATCACAATGAACAAATAAGCTAAGTTTCATCAAAATCTGAGGTGGGTGGGTTAAAACCATTGGGTGATTTAGCACGGAAAAACACCCCTGCCCACCGCTCATGACGTCATGCACCTGACTCATACAGCCCCTCCTGCAGGTGGTGAACCCACAGGAAGGCAAACCCATGGAACTCCTTTGGGTTGAGCCCGACTGGACCCTATGGGTCGAGACACAGACACACTGTTGAGCCCCTCACCCAGGCCTGGCACCAGAGTGAGGCTCCCATAACCCACGTCCAGGCAACAAACAATGACTTCCTTGTTTTTGTTTGTCCATAGAAGTGTTTCAAACCATTCTTTGTCTGGCCTGTTACCTAGGATTTGTCATGGGACCCATGTGGTTTGCCTTTGACAGCATAGTTCAGAGCAGTCCAGCTGAAACACGGACACGAATTTGGACTCAATGGGCCTCATGCAAGATCCGTTCGTACGCACAGATTTGTTCTTAAATTGTGCGTACGAGTGATTTAGGAGAATTTGTGGCATTCACCAATG